GGATTGGAAACTCGGCCTTTCCAACCGTCTACATAACTTCCAGGAAATTGCATGCGTGTATAATGACATAAAATAATTGCAGTGATAAAGAAATAATATTATTTAAAAATTTCTGTAGAGCATTTTGTATTTTGTATTTAATATTTAATATTTATATTTTAAATCTAAAATCTAATTATAAGAATGTTAAATCTTTGTTGCAATATAAGTCTAACAGACTGTAAAAAATAAATAAATAAATAAATAAACTCCGCCGTCTCCTCTGAGCCACCTGGTTGCTTGGATTTTCGTCATCTCGGCAGTTTGTTTGGTTTGCCCCCTTTGTATTGCTGTTGAGCGCTGCAAGTGCATTTACTTAGAACATTAAGCAGGCGGTCATTTATTGGCACAAAAAGTTAAAGTGACAACAATAGCGTAATTCACGACGTTTTGTGTTTGGTCTTGGGAATTGTAAATATTGTAAGTTATTAAGTAAATTACGTGGCCGCAGTGGTGTAGTGGTTAGCAGCGTGCGCTACCATTCCGCAGAGCCTGGGTTTAAGTCTGGTTCAACCCAACATCAAAAAATAAAAAGAGTTTTTTTCTGATAGCAGTCGCGCCTCGGCGGACAATGGCAAACCTCGGAGTGTATTTCAGCCAGGAAAAATTACTTCTCATAAAAATACAGTCGCCGTTCGGAGTCGGCGGAAAACTGTAGGCCCCTCCCCTAGGTAATTCACAAGTTATCATATTTCTACTATTTATAAGCTAACATTTTACAACAGTATTCAGTCTTTTTTGCTTTGGGAATAAAGCAAAAACTTTGTTGTTAAAAATAAAACTATGTATAAAGTTAGGCATTTCTATTATTGGTTTTTGACGTATGCATGTTTCTTGGTTGTAAACCAATTTAAACCGGATAATAAAATGCTTTATTTTAGACAAAATCATAAATTTTAATGCAACCTTTAAATATAAAGTGGGCTTTAAAGTTACAGATTACTTGAGAAAACGGCCCTTAAGCATATAAGACGAATATGATGACTTCATGCACAGAAAATGAGAAAAAAGTCTGCTAAATATATTTCTTTCAACACAAGATTTGGTAACTATAACTCAATCATGTAACGATAACCAAACCATTTGTTGAGAGAAACATTGTTGACGAAACTAAACCCTTTCTCAGTGTAAATTACTATAACAACATGCATGCAATTTGAAGTGCTCAGAACTCGTTGTTTATATTAGGGGCATTCTCCCTGCACGGTGCACGGATTGCACGGTTTGCAAAGCTGTCCCATACGAGAACCGGTTTTTTCCGTGCAATACGTGCGATCTGTGCAACATGCGAGGGCTTTGCAAGACTCGGAGGATACCCCTATTGTGTATTGTGCCATACAATAAAAATCACAATGCAATTTCTTTATTTAAAAAAGAGCATGAATGTTTGATGGGATCAGTGATGTGATGCAACCAAAATCATTGCAATCACATGTGCCTACAATTAAATTGATTTTAGTTTTTACAATCAGAAAAAAGCAATCAATCTTTATTGTAGTCCTATTAGTAGCACAATCATTAGTTGCGTTTTCGTATTCTCCAGCAAAAAATAGGTGCGTTCGACAAGTCAAAAATTTGTAATAGTTTTTCCAAATTTTTACTGGATGGCGTTCGATAACGACAAAAAATTATCCAACACACAAAAATTGAGAGAGCAAGCGTTCATTTTGATGCAAGAGAAGCGTTCATTTTGTACTGGCAAAATTTTAGTCAGCAAAAATTATCCAACACGAAAACATATGATCACAAAACATATGGTTGTAATTTTTGTAAACAAACAAAATTGCATTTTCCGAGTTTTGGTATTTATATGCTTTTTGGCTTCCTGCTATGTGACTTTATGATAGCGCCAACTAGTTTTTACTTCTAGAAATGTTCCTGGCGAACATTGAACGTTCACTTTCCTTTTTTCTTCTATGGAGGCAACATGAATTTCAGTTTGTTTACAAATAAAACATAAACAAAGTCAGCTGGTGTGTCTTCTTCTTCCGGTTTTTGCAAGTAATGGCTAATTTCCTGTTCGTTTACTTTTTTGCTTTTTCATATCTTTGGGAGAGAATTTTGGCTTACTCTCTTGATTTTGATTGTTGGCTGGTGTTGGCTAATTTTGTTATCGAACGCAACTATGGCTAATTTCCTGTTCGTTTACTTTTTTGCTTTGTCATCTCTTTGGGAGAGAATTTTCGCTTACTCTCTTGATTTTGATTGTTGGCTGTTGTTGGCTAATTTTGTTATCGAACGCAACTAATAACATTAAGCAACATGCCATCAGCTGTTTTTCTTACTAGCAAATAGTTGCTAGTACAAATTTATCCAGTAAAAATCAAGTAAATCTTGCAAGTTCAGCTGTAATTTTCGCTCTCTCAATTTCCCCTCTTTTGCTAGTTTCTTGCAAGTTTTTGCGTACGAAAACGACATCCAGTAAAAAAACCAGTAAAATTAGTACTGGATTAACTGGATAGTGCGTACGCGAACAGGGCTATTGATTGCAAAAAAAAATTGATTGTAAATTTTTACAGCTCTGCTGTATTGTTGCCACGCACAAATTTTTTTCCTACTAAAAGCAACCAAAATTTTTTTTTAAGTTTTTAATTTTTTTTCCAATGTCAAGTTAGTCATTACCTTCAAACCTTTCATGTCCCGAAAACAACTGTTACGCTGTTGTGAGCTCCCAGGTAGTTCAAAAGAGTTTTACAGCTTTCCATAAGCCTTGATGCCGTTTTAAAAGAGTCTAAGGCCTTCAACCCAGCCTGACTATCCGACATATTCATTCCGGTCACATTTGCTCTTCTACGAAGAATTCCGCCTGGGTAATCGTTGGGTACGTGCCTATTGGCAGACTTTCTTGGAATTCTGGTCCAAGTACACCCGACACAGTACTCCCGCCGTCCATCTTCGATGTGTTGGGGGCTATCTTAGAATCCATCGTAGTCCGATTTTTCGTGAAATCTACGATAATGCGATCACTGAATCCGAATTGCTACGAACATTTGTATTCAAAGTATACGCTACGTTCTTATCTATTCGGATTTAGTGATAGCATTTTCGTAGATTTCACGAGAAATCGGACTACGGTGGATTCTAAGATAACCCCCAACACATCGAAGATGGACGGCGGGATGGATTCTGTGATAGCCCTGATTATAGCTTCACAGCAGTCCTTATATCGTTTGTAGAAGGATAACTCGGGATCATCCAGGACTGATTTGAGAACCTACAAATGACTCCAAGATCTCCACTTTTCATTCTGATCGTATTTGGCAACCGTTGGTCACTCCCGCAGGCATCTTTCGATCAGAATAAACAAAGGAGGAATGCCTGTAATGACACCAAGGTGCGCATAGATCGAGTTATAGCAACGCGGACCAGTCGGTGCAGTTGCTCAATGTGGCGTTTACTTACTTAGCTTTTTGCCACAGGGCCAGGGCCGCATATGTAACAACGGGTTTTACTGCCGTATTGAAAGACCAATCTGTTAGTTTGTGGATAATTTCCAAGTCTTATCATGAAGACTCTGACATGCACAAAACGCACTTGTAGCCTTATTTGTAACATTCGAGAGATGTGTGTTCCAACTGAGCCTTTTGTTAAGAGTTATCCCTAGATACTTCGCCTCTTCTGAGAACTCAATTTATGTCCCTGCCAAGGTGGATCTATTCAAGTTTACTTTCCTTATTTTGGTAAATGGGACAATGGTGGACTTCGGTAGTTTCATTGACAAGCCCTTTTCAAGGTTGCTAAAATGTTTGGAGATACATATTTTCTTTTTTTGGCAAATAACTATTTTTGTCGTGATCCAATCCAATCAAACCTACCTACCTACTAAATGGAAATAAACCCACCGATTTTGATAGAGAAAGCTAAAATTCTCTAAATGAGTATCAGCCTAAAAGTATGTAACATGGTTAGCAAATGCTGGAATCCGGCTGCTGGCTGAGATCCGGTCTTTTTGGTTTGTGTCACATTATAACAAGGCAGTACGGGTTGGTAGCACTGACAAATGAATGTATACACAAACATATATTCTGCCATTGCTTCTTTTAACTTGCTTCAAATAAATGTCCGTTCCTTTATATTTAATTTGTTTAAGTGAGTATTATTTCGTTTAAATGTGCTTCTCCTTATTTAGTGAGTTCATTTTTATAATATCGTATTCCTCTTGTTAGTGGTATAAAATTAGTGCTGTCAACTCCTATAAGAACGATCCAGACCATTTGCGTGAGAAATGATCATGATACTGAGCTGGATAACCCAAATAAACACAACTATTACCATTTTTCCACGCCATCCTGAATTACGTTGTTCGCTCCCCCAGTTACGATCACCCCATTCTCACGTGCACATTCTTAATTCGATTTGACAGTTCTCTGTCTCTGTGTTTTGATTTTGTTTTCCTCGCTGCAAAATTTATGCAAAATGTAGGTTCTTCCTAGACAAAAATTAGAGGCGGCACCGATTTATTAGCAAATCGCATGGTAATTGGATCTGAATTACCAACAAATGAGGTAAAGGTGAAATTAGTCGAGAACGTAAACCTACCGGTACGTAAACCCGAGTCAGCTGACATGATCTGTATTACCAGAGCGCCTTGTAAACGAAAACTCAACACCGCAGAATTTTTCTGTAGTTGTAGCCCGTAGCGCAGAAATCTGCGGAATTTATATTTTTCCGTGTCAGTGATTTCTTCCTTCTATAGATGGTTGCCACTTCGTCAGTTTTACAGATGGTAAAAAGTTATAAGTTCCTATTCAAAATACGTTTAAAATATTTGAAATTTACCATCAAATGAGCTTTTTTGTTGAAAAATAAGTAGTTTATGTATATTTAGCTAACATCTATTATAGCATGAAAAATTGTAGTTGAAAAGTTAAGTGTATGAAAATGCATTGATGAGTGGCAACACTGTAGTAATCGACAAAATTCTGCGTATACAGACTGCGTTTAGGTATACGTTCTGCGTTCTTGACTAATTACAGCTTAAGACTGTAGGCCGCTCCGTTTGTGTAACAACATCAAGACGTGATCAAGACGCACACCACAGGTTGGAGGAGAAGCTCGGCCAGACACTTAGCATAAGTGTAAGCGTCAGTTTAGTTGGGCTCGCTTGAAATATGTACATGAAGTTCTATGGAGTTGCACACACTACACCAACTTAATCGCTCCGACTACTTAGTTGTGGTGGAATGAAAAGACTAGCGAGAACCCCATCCAAAAATCATCTAACATATTAATGCTCCAGTGATTGTGTGATCTGTCGTCATTCGTTCATCGCATCTACGTACATAAATACATATGTGTATACATTTATACCAAATCCACTTGGCTAAAACTTCGCTATCCTGGCTACAAGGATAAATTGATACGAGACATAAAACTAGATTAAGAAGTTTTTGTTTGTCTGTATAGGAGTTAGCCAAGAACCACAGTATTAGCCAAACTTTTTTGTCAATCACCGTGGTAAACTACATTAAACGGCTTCTAAAGCAAACAAATTTAAATGAATGGCGAATAATTTTAAAATGGCAATGACCCCAGTCCAGAATGATATTTGGAAACTTTGGTGTCGCCTCTGTGCCAAGGAGGATGCAAGAAATATCAACTTTTTCCAAGAAACTAATGGGGCAGCGGCAGATACAATCTCCAATTATAGCAATATTGTTGATTTTATTGGGAGGTTTTTTCGGATTCAAGTAAATATTAAAACACATACATACATAGATTATAAAATAGATACTTAATTCTATTTTGAAATTTGTTTAGATTGAAGAGGACCACGACCCACCCCATTGGCTTTGTAAGGAATGTTTTTCCTTAGTTTCAAACTTGATTTACTTCGCGGATCGTGTACAAAGGGTGCAAAATATGTTCAAAGACATAAGAAATATAAGCTACAATCAAATACTAAACTTTCGAGAAATCCGCGAAAAATATAACTTACTGGGCAATGAGCTATCTATGTTAAAGTCTTTGGATGCAAGACCCACAGTTGAAAACATATTTGTTACCCCTGAAATAAGGGTCCAAAAAACCTGGGATAATGTTACGAACAATGAAGTAATATCGGATGAAGTGAAAAGTGGCGTACTTTTGGATGAAGGCGAAGGTAAAAGCGAATTCGAGGATCCTATTGCTGAATTGAGTGAAAGTTTTTGCATTGATATAGAAGATCATGATTCTAGTAATAACACCAGTGGAAATAAAGAGGTAGACAAAGTCGAAACAAAGATTAACCAACAGTTCTCAATAAAATGTGGTTTTAAAAGGCATGATAAAAACCTGAAAACGAGGTTGTGCAAATCTGAGGGGAAATCGATGCAGCACAAATACTTCTGTAGCGACTGCTCAATGCACTTTCATCGAATTGGAAATTACAAAATACATATGAGGAAAAAACATGAAATGGTCGACGAATTGGTTCCATTCACATGCCCTCAATGTCCTAGGACTTTCAAAACAAGTTCGAAGCTTGCTCGCCACATTAAAACTCATCGACCTATTTCCGAAAAGCGTATCTTTCCGTGTCCACAATGTGATCGAAAGTTCGTAACAAAGGATTATGTATTCCGACATATACAATTTGTACATGAGGATATACGCCCATTTATTTGTGAGGAATGTGGAGAAGGTACACGCACAGAAGCAACTCTACGAGACCATATGCTTATACACACGGACGTTGCACCTTTTGAATGTGAAATATGTAAAAAGGCGTTTAAAAATCAGTCCCGTCTGAAGGTGAGAAATACTCTACTATGTATATGTGTAGTGAAATTATGTTCGTCAATCTTTTGTACGCACATATCTAGAATCACATGGATATACATAGTTCCAATAAACACGTCTGCACCGAATGCGGCTTACAACTGAACTCACGGGAAACTTTAAATCGTCATATGCTCGTACATTCCGATGTTAGGGGTCATAAGTGCGATTATTGCGGTCGCGCGTTCAAACGAGCAAAAACGCTGAAAACTCATTTAATACTCCATAGTGGCCTTAAGCCATATTCTTGTGACTTTTGTGATAAAACATTTGCCACTGGGCCAAATTGCCGCACTCACAAGAGGAAATCACATCCGGAGGAATTTGCGGCAACAGAGACTTCTGGAGAGAAAACTTACACGAAAAA